ATTGCTGGTTTGGGGACCATCTACATACTCGTGGCTCCCAGATCCTTCTCTCCACCTTAGACCTCACTCTGAGGTTGACTCACTTGTCCGACTGCCTGCTAAGCCTTCCTGTGATACTTCCCATGGGCACTTAAATTCATCACACGGGAAAAAAAATTCAGTCTCACTCTCCCCCAGACCCGGCCTGATCCTGTGTTCCCATCCCACTCACAGGCACAGCCATCCACACACAGAACAGTCAGGATGGAACCCCGCGAGGTGTCCCACGTCTCTTTCCCTTACTCTCCACTATTTGCATAAATCGCTCCCCTTACCCACACGACTACTGCCCAGCTCGTGTTCACCATTTCTTTCCTGAACATCGATCGCAGCCTCTTCCCAACTGGACCCCGTTCCTTGAGGCTCCCCTTCCATCCCATTCCCCACATGCAATCTGTCTAGTAAGTAAACGTACACATCATTTTCTCCTTAAAACCTTACAATGGTGCCCCATCACTTTTAGGCTGGAAACACCACTTTCAGGCTAGAATTCAGCTGTTTAAGATGCCTCCTAAGACCTTTCTGGATTTTGCCTCCACCAGCGACTCCAACCTCACCTCTGCTACCCACCTTACATATTGGACCCCATCCCTCAGCCAACAGTTCCCCAACACATAAGCACAGCTCTCTTGTTGGGCTTGGGGTCTCCAGGCCCCTCTGCTGGTAACACTCGCCTCCCCAAGTCACTCCACCGGCTGATGCCTGTTCAACCCTCAAGACCCTTCTCAATCAATACTTCCTCACCCCAGGGCTGGCCCAGGCCCCTTGGTGGCCCCACAGCCCCCTGCTCCAACGCCAGTCACACATTATCATTCTGGAGTCTCAAGGGATCCAAGTTCAAGTCTGGGAATTCTCTGTGGGGAGGAGGGCCTGTCTTAGATCCTTTCCAGGCCCCGGCAGCCAGCCCCAGCCAGGCCCGTGGCAGGGCTCAGAGGCCAAGCTGAACTCCTGGACCTCAGCTGTGCTCTGCACTTGGCCCTAAGGCAGACTCAATCCCTCTTTCAGGGTCTAACTCTCCCTCTACTCAGGCCCTCAACATCCCATAGCCAGCACACCCAAAGCCGCCACCACCATGGGGTGGGGCTTACCAAGGGTGGACAATGGCTCCCATCTCCACTGAGGCTACACACACATCTGGCAGTGTGCACACCAACATTCACACAGATGTACTTCCCTGAATGCACAAGCAAACCTGCCTCCACACGCCCTGACCAACACGTACCCCCACAATTACATTCACATGTCCACATGAACACAGGCAGACAAGCGCCCACAAATGCCCCTGACCCCATGGATGCACCAACAGGCATGTGGGCCCTGCACCCACAGGGGCGCACAGGTTCCCTGGTGGCTAGGGGCTGGCCTGGGGGCCACAGGCAGCACACCTGGTTGATGACGTAGATGCCATAGCGCAGCCGCTGTCGCCTGAGGATGGGGTGCAGGTAGTGGAGCCAGTAGCGTAGGTGGTGCTCCCGGTGTCGAAAGGGGATGATGACCGCCACGGTCTGGGCAGGTGTGCAGTCGGGCGGTGTGTAGCGGCCGCCCAGGAGCACGCCAGGGTTCTCCCTCTGCACCCGCTCCAGTGGCATGGGTGAGGTGAACTCAATCAGCAGTCGGCCCACTACAGGCAGGGATTAGGACTTCATCAGAACCCAGGGACGCCAAGCCCTCTCCCTCTGCCTGGGGTGGGCAAGTGAGCCCCTGAAATAGCCCTCTTCCAACACACCTGGACCCTTGGCACTCCCCCACCCTGAGCAAGACTCCAGTCCCCCATCCTCTGCCCAACCCTGGAGGTGAGCCCCACCCTGCAGGCTCACCAAGACCAGGTGGTGAGTCAGGACAGGGTGGCAGGACAGGAGCCGTGGGGCCTGGCCGGGCGCTGGGAGCCTCAGGAAGCCCGGAGCTGGGGACAGTGGTGTTAGGCCGAGAGCAGTTGGTGCTGCTGCTGGCAACTGGGTGGAGGGCACGGGTGGGGCCGCGCACACTGAAGCGGCTGAAGAAGGCCAAGTGCTGAGCGTAGACGTCAAAGTAGAGGATGACGGCCACAAGGAAGTGCAGCAGGCAGAGAAGGAGCACGGCCTTGCAGACGCGCTCCAGCGTCCCCCCCAGCAGTCTGCTCATCCCGCAGGCGGCCACCGGCCTGCCCGATGGGCCCGGGCATCCGGCCGCCGGCCTGGGCAGGGGTAGGAGAGAAACAGACCCAGCAGGTCAGGACTGGAGGAGGCAAGGCCACCCACCACCTCTTGCCCACTGTTCATACTCTCAGACCCACATCCTCATGCTTTGACACTCATAGACTTACAGCAAACAGACACATGACACACTCCCTGGCAACTCACTACTCAATCACCTGTATACACCTGAGCACTAACCCACACATGCCTACCTTCCTTGTCCTCACTGACACACACACACAAGTACAGCCTCGTGCACCCTCACACTCAGGTATATGTCCTCACAGCACAACTTCACACATGCCCCCGTGGATGCCCAGGAACATGGACATGTGACCTCTGATCACACTGGTTCATACATGAACACGGAAACACATTTACCTACAGACCCACAAGTGTTCTCTGTGCCCCAGAGAACAAACATCCCATAGGCCAGCATCCTCAACCCAGGACTCAAGACCTGGGGAAGGGAGACCATTTACCGAGTACCTACCATGCAAGAGTGCTTTGTACTCACGGCTTCATTTAGTCCTCCTGAGAACATGGTGGACAGTGGTTTGGTTGGACAGCTCCCAGTGGCAAGCAGGTCAGGCCATCTGGGACCAGGCTAGGAAGTGGCCCTCAGCATCCAGGCGGCCCAAATTTGAACAAGATGTTTATGGGATCCCTTCCCTCTGGAGCAAGAGGTCAAAATACAGGGGGGGGGGCATGGGACACCCCTTCCCTAAGACCTCAAGGATTGGGATGAACTCCCCGGGGCCTGCCCAGCACCTCTGGTTCTAATTCCCAGAAAGGGGAACGCTTGGGCCCTGGAGACAGCATGTTAGAAGAGAGTCTTGACTGGGCCCTGGCTCTAGCTGTGGGTCCAACACAGCAGTAACGCTCCTAGGAGGGTTTCTGGCTTGCTTCAGGGGGCAGGGTGAGTCTCACTCACAGAAACATAATATCACACAACTGCACAGGCACCCTCGGTCCCAGCTACAGTTGCCTGCACACAGAGAACTACATACAGTCACAGACATGCCCGGGTGACAGTAACAGAAATGCACAGAGTCACGCACGCATAAACAAAGCCACTGCTCCTGGACTTAACTCAGCCATACATACAGGCCCCTGGGCAGCTCACAACACCCGGACCCACGTGCAAACACTCCCACCCCCTCCCTCCGGGGCAGGGGTTCTGGGTCAGGCTGCCGGCCAGGCTGCAAGGTGCGTTTGGGCGGGGCTGGAAGGCTGAGTGGCCTGAGCACGTGGCACCCC